TAATATTGACTCTGTTGGATATAGTTTGTTAATTGAGTGAATCAAGGTAAAATTGTGTGTATTTTTTATTTCTCTTTACTGTTTGTGATTTGTGTGTTTACTGTTATTTTGGTTTAATATTTCTCTATTCTTTCAACTTGAGTACATGAGCATTTCATAAAATTGTAGGGTTTAGTGAGGATGACACTCAGATTTTTTATGTAACCCAATATGTGTAATGATAATTAGGCAGCCAAGGATTACTATCTTTTCTTAAAATATGTAAGATAATAATAATATTAAAAAATTTACTCCACTTATTAACTTCCTATGGGTTGAGCCGCTGAGTCCAACAATTTCTCATTATTTAAAAGAAATTAAAAAAGGTGTAATTTAATTATTCATTTTAAATATATAAATATAGAGTCAACAACTGTTGACTAGTGAAGTCAACTGGGACAAAGAGCAAGTCTTTGAGGCGTTATAATAACGACACAACATTAGAGCTGTTAATCAAGTTATGATTACACATTATTATTCTTGAAGAAACAAATATTAAACAAGAGTAACATTGGTTTTCTTGCACCTTCTTGTACTTGATGTAGCTCAAACTCACGCCCAAACCACTACAGCTCCTCATGAAGGTCTGCTTCGAAGTAAAGTTTTACTTATCTTCTTTTTATTATTTTAACTCTGAAAGATGCTTCACATTCAGACTATAACTCACTTCATTCTTCTAATTTTTTGAGTTGCTTCTCTCCTATAATAGTGGTAGCATTGAATATAATTTTTGAGAAATGGGGGATTTTTCATATCTGGTGAACTCTAAAACAATTACAGAGGACAAAAAATCCAACTATATAATAATCTATTGTCTCTACTTAGAACTTGTTATATAGATTGAATCGAACAACTTCACTTATTTTATAATTTTATTTTATTTATTTTCACCAACAAATTACTTTTTTTTTACAGAATAGGAAAACGGAAACACAATTAAAAAAAAAAAAAGGACTAGAAATGGAACAATATATTAAGATATTATCTCCACTTATAACTTCTTACATGGATAGCATCCAACAGCTTGTCATTCATTATTATGATGTTGAGAATATATTATTAAAATTCTATAGGAAAAAGATTATATTGTTTCCTTATAATTAGGCTCTCTTATTCCTAATTTCTTATTTTATTAGTTCTTAATTAAATTAAATTTCTCATTTTAAGTGTTTTCCATATTAGAATAAGATTTGTTTCAATTAATAGGTTTATTTCTTTCCTAATTAGATAATGATAACTCTAGTATAAATAAGAGTCTTTGTAACCTTGAAGGGGGAGCTTGATGAATTATTGAGAACCTTTTGTGGTTATTTTAAACAATCCAGTATTCGAATCTTGATACAATTCGATGGTGGTTATCGTATCACTTATCCAATATCTGAATCTTGATATAATTCAGTGGTGGCTTTTTTCGTATCATTTTGTTTCTTGCGTTTAGTCATTTCTAGATTGTTTCGGCATCATTTGGTATCAAAGCTTTAGGTTTGTTATTAATGGTTGAACATAATCGTGGTCGAGGTTAGTGGGGTCACGATAGGGGTCATGCAGGGCTCCTAGGGAAGATACGGCTGAGCATTAACATGACTGGTGAGAAGTAGAGATGGACACTTTGAGGAGGCAAGTTCAAGATCTCTAATGGGAGCTTGAGCAAATCGAGGCCCAGATAGAAGAAGACGAGGAAGAAGAGTTTCCCCTATAGAAGAAGATGAGGAAGATGAGTTTGAAGATATTTTTGGTGATGATGTTGAGATTAACAGTTGTAACCACTTGATTATTTTGATGATCATGGTGAGCTGCTGAAATTTGATGAAGAAATTATTGAAGAATCAATCTTTCAAAATTTGGGTCTTCACAAGGCTGCTTATGAAACAAGATCCTCTATCATTAATTGTGTTGTAGACTTGCATGATTATTATGACAAGATACGGTTACAAGAGATTTTGCTCTATGATTTTGTTTTCCATTATTGGGTTGATTGGATGGATATTGTTACAAAGGTAGGAAATTTTAAAATTCTTTGTGCATATTACCTAGAGATGAACGCAAATAAGTTTTGATTAATGCAAGTTGAAGATGAAGATATTCGTGCCAGAAATTCGAGAGCAAATTTCCAACTAGTGGGAGAGAATGATGCAGAGAATATATTATTGAAATTCTATAGGAAAAAGATTATATTATTTCGTTATATTTAGGCTTTCTGATTCCTAATTTCTTATTTTATTAGTTCCTAGTTAAATTAAATCTCTTGTTTTGGGTGTTTTTCATATTAGAATAAGATTTGTTTCAATTAATAGATTTATTCCTTTCCTAGTTGGTTAAGGATAATTCTAGTATAAATAAGGTCTTTGTAGTCTTTAAGGTGGAAGTTTAGTTTTTTTATTATTATATTTTAATGAATTATTGAGAAACTTGGGGGTTTTTAGTTTGTCAGTATCCGAATCTTAATACAATTTAATGATGTTATAATATCACAATCCACTATATGAATCTTGATATAATCCGGTGGTGGTTTTCTTCTATCAATTGTTGTTTTCGGGTTTCAGTCACCTCTCTGAATTGTTTCAACATCATATTCTAAAGAAAGAAAAAGGTGAATTTAACTATTAATATCGTTGGAAAATTTAACAATTAAAACTTAAATATAGAGTTAAAGTAATGTCTTTAAGGAAAAATTAATTAGGTTAATTACTTTCTCACCACTTTAAGAGTTAAGACTTCAACAAATTAAAGTAATTGACTTGAAAATTTGGGTTACTTTTCAAACATCTTTTAAGAAAAATGTTATTATCTTGTCGTGTTAGATGTGCTTGAGCTTGTTTTCTAAATAAAATAAAATGATTAACAAAATAGCATATTTATTTATAATATTTTTGTTGAATTGGTTAGATAAAATAGCCACTAATTGATTCGAAAGTCTACAACCTTCATTATGAGATATGTATATCACATGAGACAAAATATATTTACTCCACCTATGACTTCCTAAATGGGTTGAGATGGCGAGTCCAACAACTTTTCATTATTTCAAAGCAAAAAAAGTGTAATTTAATTATTCATATCCACGGAAAATTAAAAAATTAAAATTAAATATATAAATAAAGAGTCAAGTAACTGCTTTTTGATTATGGAAATGAAAAGGAAAGAAAAAATAACCAAAAGAATAAAAGATGGATAATATGTTTCCTTATGGAAGACAGGGTCAACTATTGTTGACAGAAACGAAGACCTATAAGTTTGATTTTATTATGTTCTCATTACTTTTAGACTTCAAAAAAAATAAAAAACTTGGAAAATTAGATTACTATACTACAACTTTAGAACAATGTTGATAATAAATATTTGATAAGACAAGATAAAATAGCTTTTAATTGATTTAATAGTCTAACATAACCCTTCATTTACGATATATGTATCACATGGGATCGAGAATAGGTCCAAAAGAAGTGGGTGCCACATTTTCCAGGGAGCTTAGATTTTTTCCAACAATGATTTGACGTGAAAAGTCGTCCTCAACTTGTAGAGATTTTTATTCTATTTCTTAACACAACCAATATGTTTTTGAAATGTGAATAAACCTGTACATATTAGTCATTACTGCTCCATTGTTTACATTTATCAATGGATATAAAAATGATTGATAAAAATTAAGTTTTATATATTATTTTATAATGTTTGCGTTAATTTAGATAAGAAAAAACTAAAAGTTAATTCTAAGGTCTAATTACAATTTACATATGAGTAATGATTCCTTAGTGNTTTGAACAACCCTTTTTTTTTTTTTTTTTTTTTTTTTATGATCAAAGATGTTCAGACTAAGTTACGTGTATCTCAACTAATTTCTTGAGTTTTGAAACTATTGTTTTAAAACTCAGACCAGAGGGCAAACCATTTTGCTGTCCGGGTCATGGGTCAATCGGTCCAGATGGTTAGACCGATGACATCAGCAATATTTTGTTTTAAAAAATTACATATTAACCCCTTAAATTTTAATATATTACAAAAATTCCCTTAAAGAGTTCAATTGGTCCCTAAAATTTTTATTTATTTCAAAAATGCCCCAATAAAATCACCAATTAATCCATAAACTTTTGATATATCTCAAAAATACCCCTATAAAATTACAATGTAACATTCATAATTTTAAAATATTTCAAAAAACCCCCTGAGACCTAAACCGGACCGGAGAAGCTGTCGGTTCCCGGTCCAACCGGTCTGACCGGTCGATCCGGTTTTTAAAACAGTGCTTGAAACTATCGACTGTATAAGAATTTTATTGACTATCTTAATTAATAACCGATAAAAAACTTGAAGTTAAGATCTTTTGAATAATACATCCAAGAATCTTTATCAAATCACTTGGGTAGTTTTACCTTAAATAAATGGAAAAGCTGGATCTGACCTTTTTCGGCCAGGTCCATTGTGGATTTGGCTAAAAAAGGCTAGATCGACGAATTATCGACCAGTTTTAGTCATTTCTACGTCGTTGTGACAGATTCTGGTAATCACTGATGGTGATTGTCGGAATCTGACAACTATGGATAAGTGGGGGTATTTTTGTTAATTTTTAAATTTTTTTTAAGGGTATTTAATTAAATTATTAAATTTAAGAGGTCTAAAAATAATTAAAAAAACAGAATAGTATTTTCCAAAGAGTTAGGTATTTTGAGAATACGATACGGAATAAGGTAAAAAAAAAAAAAAAAAAAAAAAAAAAGACAAACGCACCCTGTAATATATTTACTATAAGAAAGGAAGGAGACGACGCTTGTCATGAGTATAAATGTATAATTAGTCATAGACTGGATATTAATAACAGATATCATCAAACTATAACAAAACCTATATAAATTTTTCTTGTTCGTTTAAGATCAAAAATTTAAATTAAAAATAAAAAATAAAGAAAAAGGGGAGGTGGTCTATTATTTGATTGATTTCCCTTTCAGTTTAAATGTCATTCAAAAGTCTCTTTTGACCACCACCAGGAGGCAGGAGGCACTCTCTTCTCTCTTTCTTCCCTTCTTCCTCTCATCTGCTCCCTTCTTTCCTCTCTTCATTTTCAATTATTTCCATTCCTTCCTTCATAGATCATTTCTATTTATTGAATTTTTCTCATGGATTGCATCTCTGAGAATAACTTACAATCTCTCTGACTGCAAGGAATATAAAAGATGGGCCTCTGTCTTTCGGCAACCAAAGTGAGTGGCTCCAACAGCAACAACAACGTCAACCATCATCGGAAAGATAACACAAAAACAACAAATAATGAAGGAGGAATACGTCATGGAAAAGGAAGGAATGAAACAGCACAAAAACAACAACCACCACCGGTTAAGAATACTCAGCAGCTGAAGCATAAGAAAGACAAGGCCAATACCAAGAGACAAACTGGGGTGATCCCGTGTGGGAAGCGTACGGATTTCGGGTATGCTAAAGATTTTGATAAAAAGTACTCCATCGGAAAATTATTGGGACACGGACAGTTTGGATACACGTATGTTGCCACCGATAAGACCACTGGAGATCGTGTCGCCGTCAAGAAAATAGAGAAGAATAAGGTATGCTTGTCTTGTTTTATGAACTGGGTTTTACTTTGAGGGTGGGTCAATGTAATTAAATTTTGTTGCTTTTGTGGTCAAAAATAATCTTTGTTGATTGGATTTTCTCTCTGTATTCTATATTCTTTGTGTTAATGATGTTGATTCAATGGAAAATTGGAATTTTTTCTTTTCGGGTTTTGATTGGGTGCTGAAGGTTCTTATTAGGCATTGGATCTTTCGATAATGTTGATTCCATTTTGAGATCCTTAGCTTTCTTTTGCTTTTTATTGTAGATTCTCCACTTCATTAGTTTCTGTATTTTGTTAATATATCTTTTTAATTTTTATCGACATGTCTTTGCTTGAATATCAACCCATAAAATCGTGTTTGTTAGCACTACTATTGATTTCCTTTTGCGGATATAAATTATTGTTGTTAATTTTGTCAAAAATTAGATCATATTAAGAAACCTTCGGTCATGGGAAGATGCTTTACAGTTGTTACCCGTTGACCTCTGTAACTTGATTTGAACTTGATTTGATGGATTGTAAGTTTGTGCTCACTGCAGTTAAAGAGACTTGTTGGGTTGATTGTTGCTAGAATTAGTATGAAAATTTGTCTGCATGTATCAGTGAAGATATGCAATTATTATATTACAGAACTAACAGTTGTCAAGAATTTTCAAGTTTGGACATAATTTTGTGTTGATTTTGATGTTGTGCTGCAATATTTGACAAACTTAATTGTTAAGTTGCCCTTTTTCTGGCTGGAAGACATCAGTAAGAGAGGGAAGAAATTGCTATCTCACCTGTTAAGTGTCTCATTCGCTCAAATTTCTGCTTCCTTCTATCCAAAAGATATAATAAAAATTAAAATGTATTCATTATATTTTAGGTAGATAACTGTTGTGGAGAGAGCATACCCTGGCAACATGAGAGAAATATTTTCGATCTGTAATAAGTGTATATTAGACGGTATTATTATACTCAATGGCCCGCCTTAGTTTTTCTTCAACCTCTTTTCCCTATACCTATAAGGCCTGTTAGTTGAGAGTTGTTGATTTTTTTTCTGGTTTGGTGATATGTTTTTATTACATTTCAGAGTTGTGGATCATATATAGAAATAAACATCTAAGGTTTGAGTGGGTAGAGTTATAATTAAATATGATGGAATAAACATTATTTTGATTAGTGCTCATTTATTCATTTATTGCTATATAAATCTTTTTAAACGTTCTGCAAATTTTTACAAATCAAATCATTGGCTTTGGTGGCAGATGGTTCTTCCTATTTCTGTTGAGGATGTTAAGAGAGAGGTCAAGATTTTGCAGGCCCTCGCGGGCCATGAGAATGTAGTTCAGTTCCATAATGCATTTGAGGATGATTCTTATGTATATATTGTAATGGAGTAAGTTTTATATGTGAGCTTTTTTATTTCCCTGACTATTCCAGGGTTCATGTGTGCTATTTAAGCATTTGCATTATTCCTGAACTTCTTCCCTTTTCCAACTGTTTGACTGTTAATTTGTTGTGCTGTGCATTTCACTATGTTTCCTTTTTTATTTCTTGTCTGATCTTTATATTTTTCCGCAGCATTTCTTATTTAGTTTGCTATATACATCGCTTTTTCCCTTCTGATAAACAATTATCATGTTTCCATTTTGCTGTACTAAGTGAATTGCCTTTGATTAGGTTATGTGAGGGCGGTGAATTATTGGATAGGATATTGGCCAAGTAAGTATTCTTAGATCCTTGAAAAAAGTAAAAGTTTTGGCTGTCACTGCTACTAGGACTGCTTTTTACTGCAGTTGTTTACTTGGTTTTCTGCAATCAGGAAGGACAGCCGTTATTCAGAGAAAGATGCAGCAGTAATTGTCCGTCAGATGCTCAAAGTTGCAGCTGAGTGTCATTTACATGGTTTAGTACATCGCGACATGAAACCTGAGGTATATTCAAGTACTCTAGCATGGATAAAATATGAGGTTATATATCTGGGGTCATGTTCCTTGACATTAATTCCTTTATAATGTTTTGTTATTTGTAGAATTTTCTTTTTAAGTCTACCAAAGAGGACTCACCTTTGAAGGCTACAGATTTTGGTTTGTCAGACTTCATAAAACCAGGTGAGTGGAATTCAATCATTTCATACTTCCTCATGAGAGAATTGAATATTTTTTTATTCTACTGTGTGTTCCAAAAGTCAGTGGCAACTGATGCTTACTGGCTGTTGATGTTAATAACTGTTTTTATTGGGTCTGAATCGCATGTAATCCTGAAGGTTCCTATAAATTGCAGGGAAGAAGTTTCAAGATATAGTTGGCAGTGCCTACTATGTTGCTCCAGAAGTACTGAGACGGAAGTCAGGACCTGAATCAGATGTCTGGAGTATTGGTGTGATTACATACATTTTGCTCTGTGGGAGGCGACCTTTTTGGGACAAGACCGAGGATGGTATATTTAAGGAGGTGTAGCACAATTCTCAATTCTGTTTACTGATTCTGTTTTCTCTATCTTCCTTGACATTAGTCTGTGTAGTGTGTGGTGAATTTTGTGTTTACTTTTTGGTAGAGCAGTATCATTCACTATTACTCACATATGGATTTGCCTTGGATATTAACAGTTGATCTTATTGCAGAACCTCTTTGTGTCTTCTTTCAGGATATTCTGTTACTGTTTTTGCCACCTTAACAGAAAGAAACTGGACACCATTTTGGCCCTGCATTTCATTACATATATATGTGTGTGTTAAATTTTGTTAATATCTCCTTTTCCTGTGTGATGTAACTTGGCAAGAAATGTATATTCGTATTTTTTTTTTAAAATAAAAATTTCACTTGATTTGATCACTATATATCTTAGATGTATCGACATTTTATTTCCGTTGTTATTTTGCAGTCTAGTGTACTGAATATCTTATATCCACAGGTTTTAAGGAACAAGCCTGATTTTCGTCGCAAACCATGGCCAACTATAAGCAATAGTGCCAAAGATTTTGTAAAGAAGTTACTGGTGAAGGATCCTCGGGCAAGACTAACAGCTGCTCAGGCCCTATGTATGTGTATAACCATCGCTTGGAAAGAAAAAAATGATATTATAATGCATTACAAGCTGCTTATGGAAAAAAGAAAAAACAAAAAACAAAAACAAAAAAAGATGGCGTATTACAAACTGAAACATTGAGTGTCAAAATTACTGTTATAGGGCATACAAGAAAATTTCCTGTGGCCTTCTATTTTGTTTTATCAAATTCTCAAGTAGTGTTTTATTTGATTGGCAGCACATCCGTGGGTTAGAGAAGGAGGAGATGCATCTGAGATTCCTATTGATATATCTGTTTTGAATAACATGCGGCAATTTGTGAAGTACAGTCGTTTGAAACAATTTGCTCTAAGAGTAAGTCATTTTATTTTTAAATTGGAGCATTCTTTACAGCCGTAGGAAAGTAATGTTGTTGTTGATAATTTCTTTTTGATTAATTGATTGCCTTGCAGGCATTGGCAAGCACACTGGGTGAAGAGGAGCTATCTGATCTCCGGGATCAATTTGATGCAATTGATGTAGACAAAAATGGTTCTATTAGTCTTGAAGAGATGAGACAGGTCAACCCTTCCTGTCACTGTTACTGACAATCTCCTTAGTATATTCATTTCACAGAGAACATTTGTTCTCATGCATGCAGTCTTTTTCTTTTTCTTTTCCGCTGACAAGGATGGTTTCAGTGCAGGCCCTTGCGAAAGATCTTCCCTGGAAGTTGAAGGAATCACGTGTATTAGAGATTCTTCAAGCGGTGAGCACCTGTCCCACCTTTTCCTCTTGTGCAGTGGAGGGTTGATATTGAACTATCTGTTTCTCTGTTTCATTTTAGTGGAAGCGCTGTATTCTTTATTTTGTAGAATTTTTAAAATTTTTTTCAGTTCTCGCTATTAAAGTCTTCTTTGCTTACAAGCTCTCTTTTCTATTCAGCTCTGATAAAGTGCATTCTACAAATCAATCTACTTCCATTAGGTGAATACTGTTTTCTTTCTATACTATATTTTGACAGGATTGCTGATGTTTTTGATGCAGATTGACTGCAACACAGATGGGCTTGTGGATTTCACTGAATTTGTTGCAGCTACACTACATGTGCATCAGCTGGAGGAACACAACTCTGAGAAGTGGCATCAACGATCACAGGCTGCTTTTGAGAAATTTGACTTGGATAGAGATGGGTTTATAACACCTGAGGAACTTAGAATGGTGAGTTAAATTTATTGTCAATAAACGGTCACCCTCTTTACAATTGTCTTGTCCTGTCTGAAAATATCGTTAAGCTCATGACTTTTAAGTCTTTTTTTTTGTTTTTTTTGGTTGTTTCAGCATACGGGTTTAAAAGGTTCAATTGATCCACTTCTTGAGGAGGCAGATATCGACAAAGATGGGAGAATAAGCCTTTCAGAATTCCGTAGGCTTTTAAGAACTGCAAGCATTAGTTCACGTTATGTGGCTAGTAGCTCAACTGGTCTTCAGAATTCCACGGTGTTGTAAATGAAACTTGCAAGTTTTAGAATTGAGGGAAAGAAGAGAATATAGGGATGGAGCTCCTTTTTCAGATTTAATTTATTTCAAGATTGTAATCAAAATTAAAGAGGCCTGCTCCGTGATCTAATTTTCTTTTAGGCTATGCAAGGAACCCTATTTATTGAGACTCAAGTTTGAACGATGGGATTCAGTCTTTGGATGTATTCAGTATGTCTGCAACGAAGACTCGTCTGGATCAGATGGTGCTACCAGTGTGTGTACACATCTATTTGGAGTGTTGGGGTTTTATTGTTTGACCTACAAATGTACTGCGATTATAAAAGATGCATCAATGCAAATATGGTGCATTAGAATTCATTCATGTTTATGCATGTTTTTGAAAAAACATGTTTACTGTAGCAACATTTTGAAGTATGTTAGTGAGTTTAAACTTGTATCAAGAGCTTAGTATTGTAATGAGAAGATTACACTATGTGGTGGTTGAAGCCTGAAGGAAATTGCTTGTAACTTGAATCATGACTGTTGCATATATCCAAGGTAGGTTGCAGAATTGTGATTATTTTTTGTTGTTTTTGTTTTGGTAATCGAAACGTTCGGATCAGTTTGTGCGCACTTTAATACTCTACAAGCACAAAGGACTAAGTAAGTATAATATTATTGTGATAGATGGTTTCAAGTTTGAATCCAGGAACTTAAGAAAGGGAACAAACTTCTTTTATAGATCAACCCCTTGGGGTTAGAAGCTTAGAATTGTGATTATTTCAAAAGCTGGACGTCAAATGTGGACCTTCCAACCTCTCATGCCACACTCCACATTTCCATCCCAGAGTTGGAATGTGTTTAGGTATCAGTCAAAAGTGTTCAGGCGTTCAAGCGGACCCCCTATGGCTTGCTTGACTATTAGTTGTATCTAATAAATTCGGTAAACCGTCATTTATCAGACCCCTCACTTCCTTTATGCGAGTGAGATGGTACCTCTATGTCAACTCATAATTAAATAGTGCCCCCAGCCTCTTAGGTCTCATGCATTATTGCCAAAACTGGACTGCTATTCCTACCACAGTGGACAACATTTGTTTTATACATATATACCTTTCTTGATGTAATGGTTACCCCTTTTTCTTGCAATTTCCCATTATATTTTCTTAAATGATGACAATTCTGGTGGACTTAAATGTTGGGAAAGCAAGTTTTTGACAAGTGTGAGAAAACTCTTTTGATTTAGAATCTAGACTAATTTCATGTCGGCAAGACTCGATCATGCTGAGAATTTCCCTTTGCGTCTATCTATATATACACCAAATGATACGATATTGCCTAAACGACTTTTTCTCACTCAAATAATGGTTTAATGACATTTTCTCACTTGCATATTTATAAAATACTATTATCCAAATTTATATTTCGTTTTCGATTTCGGTATCGTTGCGACCTCACACCACCACGATTTTCTTCCTCGATCATTACTCACTAAAACATCTCAAACCCTACTCCAATTGATCTCGCCAATCGTTGGTAATCGAGCGATTAAGGTTTACATAGCCGCCCCTCTCAAGTAAAATTCTGATTAATTTCAACCACAAAAATCTAACATTCCACCACCAAAAGACTCATCGGCCTCTCCTTTTCAAAATCGAAAAATATGTTGGAGTTGTCAACCACTTCAACAATGATAGGCCAAAATTTTGTCGAGTCGGTCGTCATGCCACAAAATTAAACCTAAGTGTTGTAGTTAGCGATAAACATGGTTGAATCCATAAGGAGTAAGACTAACAACCTAGTGTATATTTGAGTTAAACAAAGGGAAATTGACAAATTGATTAATAAACAACTAAGTAAACTAACTAATAACAAGTAATTAAAACAGGCTAACTAAAATTTAATAATAAAGGCACTGCCCTTGCGGATTCGGTTCAATTTAAGGCTAACTCTCACAATTCCTCACCTCGCTTTTAGACTTCCTAAACCAATAAGGCTAGGCAAATCTCATAAAACGATTTTCCGGCAATCTAGGTATAATCTATCTTGTCTCTTTGTCGTCTTAGTTACAAATTGATTAGTTAAAGACTATTATCGATTAACCGAAAGCTCTAACAATTAAATACCACTAGTTGGTACAAAGCCAACAAATACAACCTATCAACTTTGTATCAACCAATTACATAATGAATGCATTTCTAGTAGAAATGATATTAAACGCTAATACAACTTGATTGCAATCAACTTTGAAGCAATTTAAAGCCATAATCAACATTCAATAATCTCAAACTGATATTCAATTGTGCAAAAAGTTGTATATCAACAAACGTTTTCTATGGACATGATCAATTCAACACGTCATGCATCACAATTATAATAAAGTATTGCAAACAAATTGAAATGAAAACAAATATAATATGAATATGAGAAACTTAACCAATTGTCTAATTGTTCGGGCTCAATCCAACTAGTCAAAAGCTGCCGTGAAGAATTGTGGTTGTTGATCGAGGTCTGGCCGTCACCGTAATGGGCAACCGGGAGCCAGTTGCCAACACCAAACCCCAACCCCAACCCCATTTTGGCCGCTGGCTGGGGATGCTTCACCTTCCCCCACGCTGGCCAAGTCCCCCTCACCTTCCCTCCATGTCGTGACGCCTTGTCTTCCATCATCAGCGACGTTTTGCCTTCCACCACTGTGACTCTTCATCTTTCAGCAAGATTTCTCCACTTTTTGACTACCCTTCGACTTCCCAAGTGCTAGTCATCCTTCCCTGATCCATCTTCCCCATCACTTGATTTACCTCCTAGCAGCGCAGATGCATTCGGGGGTCCCGCTAAAAGATTTCTTTAAGTTATTAATTCATTATTGGGTTTGGACTTAAGAATATAAATCCTTGTAATATTAAGTTTTAGTTTTTTAAACCTAGTTTATAAACATATATTTTTCTTGTATGAGTATGATAACAAATCATAGGGAAAATTACATTCATTGTAAACGAGAGAGGTGAGACAGTATTACAATAATATTAACTTTGCTAGATGTAGCTTGTTAATTGATCGAGTAAACCAGGGTAAATCGCACGTATTTATTCGTTCTCTTTACTATTTGTGATTTATGTGTGTCTATTGTTTTTGGTTTCATATTACTCTCTATTCTTTTATCAGGACCATTAAAAATACTTTGTATAATTATGATTTATGAATATGAATCTTTACCCTTTGATTTGTCTTCCATAGAAGCCTTCTTTTAAGTGAGAATCATAGACATCACGACAATAAAATACCCTATAGTAAAACCAAAATAACGTTTTTACACCATTATAAAGCCTACAAAGATTTGTTTTAGGACATTATTGCATGCATTCTGTTTTTCCCTTCAAACCAATAGAGGCATAAAGCATACTCATCAAATATCTATTGCAAATATATATATTTACATGCATCCTGTTTAAGTGCTATAAAATATTAATATTAATGTTATGACTGAGAAATCAAAGGCTGACGTGGAGTTGCGTGAAGAAACGTGGCCTGCTCCCGTCAGAGCGGTAAGTGCACATTAAGTCTGCCAAACGCCCTGGTGCTCCCACGTGTCCGCTAACCTGCCCCAAATCGCGTGAAATCGGCTTGGAAAATGGGTATTGGGACGTAAAATCAGATTAGGTCCTGACAAGCACACCAACCCAAGGATTTAGTGATGATTACGCACATTCAACTGGGTATAAGAAGAGGAAGACCCCTTCATTAAAGGGATTCGACAATTTTATACAAAAAACTCTCTCTTTCACGCTTTTGTATCTGTTTCCCAACCTTTTGTAAGTCAGTCCGCTGTCGCGACCTGACCCACACTATCAATATCAATACAAATCAGTAGACGTAGGACTTGCTACCTTAGCATCCGAACCACTTTAAAAACTCTTGTAGCATTTATTTCGTTTTCTATATTCATTATTACGTGTGCTTTTTGACCAATCAACGCTACGCACGTGATAATTAGTTGGTGCCAAAGTCCAGCATCAACAATTAACTTTCAGTGCTATACAATATTCTGGTGATCAAAGGTGAAGGAGCAAAAGGAGGTGATGATGAAGAGAATGTTCGAAGGTTCACGAGCAGAACCGATTTGCCTGAGAAGATGTACAGGACCGATCAGATCAAGGCGGAGATGAAGAACGGTGTGTTGAAGGTGGTGGTGCCGAAGGTTAAAGGAAGAGGAGAGGAGTGACAAGGTATCAAATGCTGTCTATTATAAGAGAGAGAGAGAGAGAGGTTGGTCAAGAGTAAATGTGCGAATCCCCTTAATGAGAGAGGAGCTCTCAACTTATAGTGGGATGCATTGAGGTAATAATCACTGAATCTGTAAGTTGGTGGGATGATCTGTGCAAATCCTTCTTTATGTCACATTATCCATCTTCTAGAGTAATTCACGTGATTTATTGCAAAGATTGGACACGCAGGATCATCACAACTCCTGGCTGGCTTGACGTGCACCCACTATTCTGACGGAAGCAAGCTGTGGGTGTAGCCATGATCACACGATGCGGCTACACCAGAATGCTAGTAAACTCTTCCCAAGGTCTGACCTTTCACACTTAACTGGACACCATGTCAGCCCTATTTCCCCAGCCATAACACTCTAAATTTTGGAAGAGCTCTCGTCTTTTTGGTTGCTTGGTTCCAAAGAGTTAAATGATTGTTCATCCCGCATATACAAAATATGCCATCATATATAAGGACCCCCAACAATTTCATATCGTGGATCCTGAAGATGGAAATTCTGAGATGATATGTCTATCAATGTTTCATCGAGAAACAGACGATACAAATCAACTGGATAGCTAAATTCATCTGTGTAATTTTCTAAACATATAAACAACAAGTAGACGGGTGTCATTATCGTTTTTGGGGTGTTTTGAAATGAAACCTGGAGTTTTAAATAAATCATACCAAGATTTACAAACGCACCTGAATCTTATTAGAGATTTTACTGGTAGTCCTGATAGAACTTCAATTGTAATATCCCTTGGAAAATCTTCATTGCTTGTCACCATTATCTCATACACTCGTATGTTTTGCTTAAATGTTCTATCTTTTATGTGGACATTTCCATTTCACAGTTCATATTGCATTGTGAAATCTGCAAAATGAAGAGGTTAGGGACGACAGTCAAGAAGGAGAAACAAAAATTAATTTCATTGTGAAATCTGCTCGTGAATATGTTAAAGATGGATACAGATTCTGCTTTAACAGAAGCTCTATATATCTGTAAAGATTTATCTGTGAACAATCATAAGTAAACTGCAATGGAGATTTTGATCTTGGAACTCAGATACATGACATACTGCAAATTAAATAGTGGATGGGCAATAATATCGAAAAACTTTACTAAAAATTATCACATCTTTTACATGGACGAGAGCATTTCCTTGTTCTTTGATTATTATTTTTTTTTTTCTAAATATGAAATTTAATAACATATTTAGAAGTAGCTAGAAATTTATCTAAGAGAAGCAAAATCAAA